AATCATCCAAGATGGCCGCCAGAGGGAACTTAGTTTAACATAGGACCCTATGGGAAATACACACAAATGTCTTCTTTTAGAGAACCACTAAATGGAATGAAACCAAACATGGCATGAATGTTCCTTATGAGGTGCTGACTAAGTGTTGTAACTTTGAAGCCGATCCATCATCCAAGATGGCCGCCAGCGGGGGACTTCGTTTAACAGAGGACCCTATGGACAATACATACAAATGTCTTCTTTAAGAGAACCACTGAATGGAATGAAATAAAACATGTCATGAATATCCCTTATGAGGTGCTGACCAAGTGTTGTTACTTTGAAGCCGATCCATAATCCAAGATGGCTGCCAGCGGGGGACTTCTTTTAACATAGTACCCTATAGACAATACATACAAATGTCTTCTTTTAGAGAACCTCTGAATGGAATGAAACCAAACATGGCATGAATGTTCCTTATGATGTGCTGACCAAGTGTTGTTATTTTGAAGCCGATCCATCATCCAAATGGCCGCCATTGGGGGACTTAGTTTATCATAGGACCCTATTGGAAATACACACAAATGTCCTCTTTTAGAGAACCATAAAATGGAATGAAATAAAACATGGCATGAATGTTCCTAATGAGGTGCTGACCAAGTGTTGTAACTTTGTAGGCGATCAATCATCCAAGATGGCCGCCAGTGGGGGACTTTGTTTAACATAGGATCCTATGGACAATACATACAAATGTCTTATTTTAGAGAAAAACTGAATGGAAAGAAATCAAACATGGCATGAATGTTCCTTATGAGGTGCTGCCCATGTTGTTACTTTGAAGCCGATCCATCATCCAAATGGCCGCCATTGGGGGACTTAGTTTATCATAGGACCCTATCGGAAATACATACAAATGTCTTCTTTAAGAGAACCATAAAATGGAATGAAATAAAACATGGCATGAATGTTCCTAATGAGGTACTGACCAAGTGTTGTAACTTTGTAGGCGATCAATCATCAAAGATGGCTGCCAGTTGGGGGGGGGGCTTCGTTTAACATAGGACCCTATGGACAATACATACAAATGTCTTCTTTGAGAGAACCACTGAATGGAATGAAACTAAACATGGCATGAATGTTCCTTATGAGGAGCTGACCATGTGTTGTTACTTTGAAGCCGATCCATAATCCAAGATGGCCGCCAGCGGGGGACTTCGTTTAACAAAGGACCCTATGGACAATATATACAAATGTTTTCTTTTAGAAAACCACTGAATGGAATGAAACCAAACATGGCACGAATATTCCTTATGATGTGCTGACCAAGTGTTGTTACTTTGAAGCAGATCCATCATCCAAGGTGGCCGCCAGCGGGGGACTCCGTTTTAACATAGGACCCTATGGACAATGTATACAAATGTTTTCTTTGAGAGAACCACTGAATGGAATGAAACCAAACATGGCATGAATGTTCCTTATGAGGTGCTGACCATGTGTTGTTACTTTGAAGCCGATCCATCATCCAAGATGGCCGACAGAGGGGGACTTAGTTTAACATAGGACCCTATGGGAAACATATACAAATGTCTTCTTTTAGAGAACCACGAAATGGAATGAAATAAAACATGGCATGAATGTTCCTTATGAGGTGTTGACCAAGTGATGTAACTTTGTAGGCGATCAATCATCCAAGATGTCCGCCTGCAGGGGACTTTGTTTGACATAGGACCCAATGGACAATATATACAAATGTCTTCTTTTAGAGAACCACTGAATGGAATGAAACCAAACATGGCATATATGTTCCTTATGAGGTGCTGATCATGTTGTTACTTTGAGGCCGATCCATCATCCAAATGGCCGCCATTGGGGGACTTAGTTTATCATAGGACCCTATCGGAAATACATACAAATGTCTTCTTTTAGAGAACCATAAAATGGAATGAAATAAAACATGGCATGAATGTTCCTAATGAGGTACTGACCAAGTGTTGTAACTTTGTAGGCTGTCAATCATCAAAGATGGCTGCCAGTTGGGGGCTTCGTTTAACATAGGACCCTATGGACAATACATACAAATGTCTTCTTTGAGAGAACCACTAAATGGAATGAAACTAAACATGGCATGAATGTTCCCTATGAAGTGCTGACCAAGTGTTGTAACTTTGAAGCCGATCCATCATCCAAGATGGCCGCCAGCGGGGGACTTCGTTTAACAAAGGACCCTATGGACAATATATACAAATGTTTTCTTTTAGAAAAGCACTGAATGGAATGAAACCAAACATGGCACGAATATTCCTTATGATGTGCTGACCAAGTGTTGTTACTTTGAAGCCGATCCATCATCCAAGGTAATCGCCAGCGGGGGACTCCGTTTAACATAGGACCCTAAGGACAATGTATACAAATGTTTTCTTTTAGAGAACCACTGAATGGAATGAAACCAAACATGGCATGAATGTTCCTTATGAGGTGCTGACCATGTGTTGTTACTTTGAAGCCGATCCATCATCCAAGATGGCCGACAGAGGGGGACTTAGTTTAACATATGACCCTATTGGAAATACAAACAAATGTATTATTTTAGAGAACCACTGAATGGAATGAAATAAAACATGGCATGAATGTTCCTTATGAGGTGTTGACCAAGTGTTGTTACTTTGTAGGCGATTCATCATCTAAGATGTCTGCCAGCGGGGGACTTCTTTTAACATAGTACCCTATAGACAATACATACAAATGTCTTCTTTTAGAGAACCTCTGAATGGAATGAAACCAAACATGGCATGAATGTTCCTTTTGAGGTGCTGACCATGTGTTGTGACTTTGAAGCCAATCCATCATTCAAGATGGCCGACAGAGGGGGACTTAGTTTAACATAGGACCCTATGGGAAACATATACAAATGTCTTCTTTTAGAGAACCACGAAATGGAATGAAATAAAACATGGCACGAATGTTCCTTATGAGGTGTTGACCAAGTGATGTAACTTTGTAGGCGATCAATCATCCAAGATGTCCGCCAGCAGGGGACTTTGTTTAACATAGGACCTTATGGACAATATATACAAATGTCTTCTTTTAGAGAACCACTGAATGGAATGAAACCAAACATGGCATGAATGTTCCTTATGAGGTGCTGACCATGTGTTGTAACTTTGAAGCCGATCCATCATCCAAATGGCCGCCATTGGGGGACTTATTTTATCATAGGACCCTAACGGAAATACATACAAATGTCTTCTTTTAAAGAACCATAAAATGTAATGAAATAAAATATGGCATGAATGTTCCTAATGAGGTGCTGACCAAGTGTTGTAACTTTTTAGGCGATCAATCATCCAAGATGGCCGCCAGTGGGGGGGCTTCGTTTAACATAGGACCCTATTGACAATACATACAAATGTCTTCTTTGAGAGAACCACTGAATGGAATGAAACCAAACATTGCATGAATGTTCCTTATGAGGTGCTGACCATGTGTTGTTACTTTGAAGCCGATCCATAATCCAAGATGGCCGCCGGAGAGTGACTTAGTTTAACATATGACCCTATTGGAAATACAAACAAATGTCTTATTTTAGAGAACCAGTAAATGGAATGAAATAAAACATGGCATGAATGTTCCTTATGAGGTGCTGACCAAGTGTTGTAACTTTGTAGGCGATTCATCATCTAAGATGTCTGCCAGCGTGGGACTTCGTTTAACATATGACCCTATAGACAATACATACAAATGTCTTCTTTTAGAGAACCACTGAATGGAATGAAACCAAACATGGCATGAATGCTCCTAATGAGGTGCTGGCCAAGAGTTATTACTTTGTAGCCAATCAATCATCCAAGATGGCTGCCAGCGGGGAACTTAGTTTAACAAAGGACCCTATGTGAAATACATACAAAAGTCTTCCTATTTTTAAGAACCACTGAATGGAATGAAACCAAACATGTCTTCTTCCAGAAAACCGCTTAATGGATTGAAACCAAACATGGTATGAATGTTTCTTTTGGGGTGTTGACCAAGTGTTGTTACTTTGTAGCTGATTTGTCATTGTCCTTATACGGTCATTTTCTACAATTTCAATGAATTTATTGGTAATTTCTGTAAACTTTACAAAAGTCTACTGCTTTTGATTAAATTACGGGGCCAATATTAAACCAAATTTGGCCTCAATCATTTTTAGGGTATCTGTTATGATTTTAATCTATTTTTACATGATTTCTAAAACCAAAGTAGAATCAGGTGAGCGACACAGGCTCTTGGGAGCTTCTAGTTATATTTAGATTTTGTCTGTAAATCGTTTGAAAATTTTGTGGAGAGTGGCTATTTATGCTGGTATTTAGTTCTTTGATTTTGAAGTTTAGTCTGATGACGGCTTGGTCTGCAAGTATATTGTCCTGTTCTTTAAATTCTTCAGGCGTTTTGTGTTTACGGTTGCAGTTCCAGCGGTAAATTTGGTCTATACTGGTGTTTCAAGTATTGTTATTTTGCAGTTGTCGTATCGTTGGACTTATTCAATAATTTTATTGTAGTATTCTATCAAGTGATTTATAGTATCATCAGTGTATGTGTTGATTTAAATACTATATATTTCTTGTTATAGGATATAAGGTCGCAAGAGCCTAGCCAGACATATATCTTTATAGCTCCTAATTCTGTAGTTTAGATAGTTAAGGTTGATTGTAGCCATTTAAGTCTGTCAGCTATTTTAGCGCCACTCTTGCACCACCAGATAATTTCTTTTTCTACTGTTATATGGTTTTTGAGCCAATTCGAAAGTTGCTGTTTACAACCTCGTTAGAAACAGCATTATTACAAAAATAAAGACTATCCAACATGGGAAGAGTGTAACTAATATAGTATGTCTTAGATCCACCAGACGGTCCAAATGACGTGGATGGAGAAAACTATAGGTCAAAGTTGTCCGTATTTATCAGTTGGCAAAAGAATATATGGTTTTTGGCTCTACCAGTAAAACTGGTACCTGACAAATCAAAGTTACCAGATATCCCATAGGATTGGTTCGTCTGTAAGTCTCGACATGTAGTCTGGTTAAACTCATCACAAAGACATGGGTATGCATCTATGATCATCTATTATAAACTTTTCATATCATTTTAATGTTTTTTAAACATTCAGTACATTATACATGGACCACACAAGAAATTTGCTGAGTATTGGACCGTTCGACATCACAATAGTCAATACCCATAATTTTCTGGAAATTCCAGTCTGTACCCTCCTATTCAATCATAAGCTGATGCCTCCTATGTAAGATATGCAAAGTCCAGTGGAAAAAAAATTGGAGATTGCAAATATGTCTAGAAATCTTATCTTATTGCCTAAGAATTTTATTATCAAAATAAAAAAAAATATATGAAAATCTATATGTATTATCTTATCTTCTACAGTACACTTTTGGGTATTTAATTGAATTTTGTCTCTGAATTACCCTAGTCTGTCTCAAAATAACCTTCTGACGTTGTGCAACATTGAATCGCTTTTAAAACATGACGTCAAATAATTTGAATTGCGATGCAATGCTTTGCTGGCTCTTGTGTGGTTTTAAGTAATAGCCGGTAAATTTGCATACAAGTGTTAATATGTCTGTTGTCTACATCCATCAGCTTCAATAAATGTATTTGTGTCTTGGAGGGGTTACAGACTAACAAATCATTTCTGGAATAGTCCATTGATCCATCACTAATCCCCAGGAATCAATCCATCATCATTTAGCATCACCGATTTGAATCCTACATTGTTCATGTGTTGGTGACTTGTCTGGAGTTTTTTGTAGGGATTTGTGTCCTGCCCTCTTTCCATTGTATTTGATAACACCTTGACCTTATTTAAGATTGGTAATTAATACAAAAAATGAAAACTACATGTAATAAATTTATTGTGTCCGAAGCGCTTTTCTGGATTTACCTTCATCAGGAATGCTCTAAGCCGAATATTTGAAAGCCAAGGATGTATAAGAACCAAATACAATTCATCTTTGAGGTTGCAGTCATGTAATTGACTGCTCCATAGGCTTACATGTATTGCAAAACAGTTTATCTTTGAAAATTATTAAAAAATAAAATGCTACAAAGAAACATTTTTTCATGTACATAAATGTATGCAGTAATATGAAATTGTGATTTAGTTGAAAAAAAAGTGCCAGGAAGAATAAAAAGTTAAGAAACCCTGAAGTCAAAACTACTGTAGATACATGTAAGGCCCCTAAATATCAACTTAACTACCTGTTAACCTGTAGTAAGAATTTCTGAGTAATCAGTATGGGAAAACTGTATGTTCAATTTGACAACACTTATAAAAATCAATTATTTACAGTCTTACATATATCCAAATTTAGATAAACTTGGCATAGGCATAGGAATAACAATCTGGCGGCAGTGTATACTATTTGTATTAAGCTTAACATTTCATAGGGTAGAAGACCTTATGTTATAAAGTTTACGTCTGTCATATGTCCGTGGTCCTCATTTTCATGGTTCAGCGACTGCTTGAAAAAAGTTTAGTTTTTTTTTCTTGTGTATTTCTCACTCATAATGAGTAATAGGATAACTATATCCATGATATCTGGTATGTGGGTTCCTTGCACATGTAACATATGTAAGGTCTACATGTCCTTTAGTCTTTAGAGAAGTTTCACCTGACCTCAATCTCATTTCATGGATCAGTGATGAAGGTTAAAGTTAAATGATTAGGTTCGTTTCTTAGATACTGTGAGAAGTAGGTCAACTATATTTGGTGAATGGAATGATTGTAAGGTGTACATGTCAGTCTGGCAGTGTTCATCTAACTTTGACCTCATTTTCACGGTTCTTTGGTCAATGCTAAGTTTTTGTGTTTTGTTCTGTTTTTCTACTACTATATACAATAGGTTAACTATATTTGGTGTGTGGCATGATTGTAAGATTTACATGTCAGACTGTCAGGTTTAATTTGACCTTGACCTCATTTTCATGATTCATTGTCAATATTACATTTTTCATGGTTTTGTCTGTTTCTTGTATACTATAAGCAATAATTAACTTAATTTGGTGTAATGAATAATTGTTACAGGTGTACATGTCTGTTTGACTTGGTTAATCTGACCTTGACTTCATTTTCGTGGATCATTGAAAATGTTAAGTTTATGTGATCCTTGTATAAAACTATCTTTACGACTTTCAACATAAAATCAATCATGGTAAGTAAGGCAGGTGAGCCATTCAGTGTGTGCACTCCTGTTTTAAATTATCAATGTGAAATAGGGGAGTATCTTGGCTAAACATGGAAAATTTGTTCCGATTATTGAAAATTAGAAAAAAAAATGGTTGGGAAGAGTATTTATTGGTGTGCCCAGTTATGATTATTTATAATATTGCTGTGATTGTGAGTCATGCTATAATAGTATTTTTTAAAGGAAAAGCCAGTCTAAGTGTCTGAATACCTGAAAGCCACAAAATATGTCAATCAACCAAAAACTTTTAATTGAAACTACATGTACATACCAAATTTGCAGACTTTTCCAATTTTTAGTGGTGAGGACTGATAGGATAGACACTTTTTGAGAGCTAGGGTCTTAATATTTAGCGTGTGTTAAAACTTCAGGACAGACACTTTTTGAGAACTAAGGTCTTAATATTTATCATGTGTTAAAACTTCAATCATTCATTTTCTTTCTCTTGCTGAACCTCTGATCAACCAAGACATTTTTGACATATATACTTTGTAATTGCTGATTGATCCCAACTTTGATAGACTTTGTTTTGTCTACTTACGGAATCATATTTGACACTTTGTTTTGTCTACTTACGGAATCATATTTGACTGCCCTGCAAATCAAATTGGTCTTTGTTCAATTGTCACACTTGTGTCCTTGTTAACAGAAATGAATAAAGTAACTTAAACTAAATATTCTAGAAATACTCCTTGATGTAAGTCATGGTAGGTAGTCCTTTTTCAAGACAAAATTTTTGACACTGTATGCCATTTGTTATGGCTGCTCCTGTAGATTCAGTATAACCCCACATAATACTAAGTGCTATTTCAACACACTATTGACCTCATTGTGCTGATCTGTATACTTTACTACAATATTATGAAAATTGCTGACCAAATTTAGCCTGAATCATCCACCATGTTTTTCCTTTTTCCTTCAACTTTTGACTTAATTACGGCTTTTTTCAATCTTTGTACCTCCTTTTCAGTGACCAGTTGAGCTAAACAGACTCCTTGGAGCCTCTAGTTTCCAAAGTTTTCTGATTACAATGCAGGTATGTATGTGTATTAAAAACTGAGAAATGATTACAATACACCATTGATATTTGGAGTGCTGTTGAAAATTCCTGTTTTTAATTTTGCTTCGAAGCATATTATATTTAATAAAATATCAATCAGACTAAATCTAAATTTAATTTCTAGCACTTTCTTCCTTCACATGATTTTTGGAGATGAAATTTAACTAATCATACTAAGCTAGGTTACATCACTAGACAACGTCATCAAGGGGGACTCCTGTTGTAATGTCCATGTTTTCTTCTCAGTTGTCTCTAGAAAAGAACTAGAAAATATTTAATCAAGATTTTCAACCCAAAGTTAATTTAACATCACAGATTCCAATGTTATATATATTGGTTTTTTGATGGTCATGATAGTATATATATATGTTATTGTTTTTTTGTTGTAGCAAAGAGGTTTTAAAATTTAAAACATACTGTTTAGTTTCAAAAGTTATGTTTTTGGCATTTTTGAAACATGTAGATGCATTTCATAAGCCATTTTCATATTTTATAGTTAAAATTCCTTTTTGAAATGTAAATAATTTCTTTTTCTATGTTTATTTCTGTTTTTGAATTAGGCTGTATTCCTGGTATTGTTTATATGTTTTTTGATAGTTCAATTTCTATTTTAAGACAATTCATCTACCACATATCTATTTGAGGAAATGTTAATTGTATCCCAAACAATAATTTATGATGTTTGTTAGAAAAATGTGCAAGCCCACTCACCTTTAATATGATGAACATCATCTGAAGATGTAACTGAATGTAACTAGCGTCATTAGTGACATTTCTTACTCCTTTGTTTGATGCATTAGCTTTTGGAAGAAACAGTTCTTGATTTGTAAATATTGAAGAAATAAATCATGGATTGACAGTTACATAATATAAATTTATATATACAGTCTAATAACATGAATAAGTAATATCTGTACTTTAAATATACACAAAATGTTGTTTCCTATTTTTACTATAATTTGTTTTCCTTTCTAGCTCACCTGGCCCAAAGGGCCAGTTTGAGCTATTGTCATTGCTTGTGACCTGTTGTCCATTATTGTCATCCATTAACTTTTACAAAATCTACTTGTCTAATGGAACTAAACTTAGACACAATCATCATTGGGGAATCTAGTTTAAAACATGTGTCCAATGATCCAACTAACATGGCCAACATAGCTAAAGATAGAACATGGGGGTAAAATGCATGTTTTGTTTATTGTCTTGAAAACTGTTACAGATAACGAAAATCTGACAGGAGCAGAATTGTTCAGAAGATCTGCCTACTGTCCATTTTGTCAAAAATTGTCAGATGACTCCATCTTGGGGTGATTACCCTAATATTTAAATGAAGATTTAAGCAATTTTTATACGACCGCAAAAATTAAAAAAATTTTGGTCTTATATTGGTATCACGTTGTCGTCGTCGTCGTTGTTGTAGTCAGCGTCGTCCGAAGACAGATGGTTTCCGGATAATAACTTTAGTATAAGTAAATAGAAATCAATAGAATTTTAACACATGGTTTATAACCACTAAAGAAAGGTTGGGATTGATTTTGGGGGTTATGGTCCCAACTGTTAAGGAATTAGGGGCCAAAAAAAGGGGCCCAAATAAGCATTTTTGTAGTTTCCAGACAATAACTTGTGTTAAGGTGTATGAATCTCTCTGAAATTATACCACAAGTTTCCATACTACAAAGGGATGGTTAGGATTGACTTTGGGGGGTTATGACTCAAACCATTTAGGAATTAGGGGCAAAAAAATGGGAAAAACAAGGGTTTTTCTGGTTAAAGGACAATTAAGACAATTTAAAAGCAGTGTAAGGGAGGTAATCCAAATCAAAATCAAAATCAATTTAAATAACAATGTTTAATTACCTCCCTTACACTGCTTGTAAATTATGTATTAAGAAATGATGATTGTCTGAGATACTGACCATAACTTGAGGGAAAGAATTATTTTTTGGAATAAGGGAAAAATGTCTCAAAATTACCAAAAAACAGTGAAAATAAAAAAATGTTTACATATCACAAATTTTGAGAAAAGCATGTATTCAAATAGGATTCCAATTAAATTTGGTATTAATTTATTCCTGTTGTCAAAATTGTTGTACAAACTTCTTTTCTGTTTTAATATAAAAAATATTAAGAAACTTGTTTTTATACGACCGCAAAAAAATTTTGCGGTTGTATATTGGTATGATGTTGGTGTCGTCGTCGTCGTCGTCCTAAGACACATTGGTTTTTCGCACTCTAACTTTAGTTTAAGTGAATGGATCTCTATGAAATTTTACCATAAGGTTCAATATCACAAAAGGAAGGTTGGGATTGATTTTGGGGGTTATGCATATGGTACCAACAGTTAAGGAATTAGGGGCCAAAAATAAGCATTTTTGTAACTTCCAGACATAACTTGTGTGTTAGTGTATGGATCTCTCTGACATTGTACGAGAAGGTTCCATATTATAAAGGGAATGCTGGGATTGATTTTGGGGGTAATTGCCTCAAAATTTTAGGAATTAGGGGCAAAAAAAGGGGCAAAAAACAAGCATTTTTCTAGTTTCATGACAATAACTTGTGTGTTAGTGTATGGATCTCTCCGAAATTGTACTACAAGGTACCATACCACAAATGGAAGGCTGGGATTGATTTTGGGGATAATTGCCTCAAAATTTTAGGAATTAGGGGCAAAAAAGGGGCAAAAAAGAAGCATTTTTCTAGTTTCCGGACAATAACTTGTGTGTAAGTGTATGGATCTTTATGAAATTGTACTACAAGGTTCCATATTAATGGTTGAGACAAACTAAAGTTAGAGAACAGAAATGAAAAATTCAGCAATTTTTATGTTTATAAAGGGACATATCTCAAGAATGGTAAAAGTGTCGCCACCAAATTTCATACTTAATCTGTATTATGTAGTAATAAGCATTGTGTATAAGTTTCATAACATTTGGTTGAGGCAAACTAAAGTTAGAAAGCGGAAACAAAAAATTTGTACTTGATCTTAGTTTTGTGGTAATGAATATTGTGTATAGGTTTCATAATGTTTGGTTGGGGCAAACTTAAGTTACAGAATGGAAACTAAAAAATTTGCAATCTTTCGATTTATAAAGGGGCATAACTCAATAATGGTTTAAGTGACACTACCCAAATTCAACTTGATCTGTGTTTTATCAGTGGAAGTCAAAGTTAAACTGTAATGGACAAAGGAAGATAACTCCAATTTTAAATATTACTTGATATTAAGAAGAAAATAAAAATTTTGCAAGTTTTCCATTTATAAAGGGGCATAACTCTAGAACAGTTAAAGTGACGCCACCAAAATTAAAACTTGATCTGTGTTTTTTGGTAATAAGCATTGTGTATAAGTTTCATACTATTTGGTTGAGGCAAACTTAAGTTAGAGAACGGAAACTAAAAATTTTGCAATTTTTATACGACCGCAAAAAATTTTTTGTGGTCGTATATTGGTATGACGTTGGCGTCGTCGTAGTCGTCGTCTGGCGTCGTCCGAAGACACATTGGTTTTCGCACTCTAACTTTAGTTTAAGTGAATGGATCTCTATGAAATTTTACCACAAGGTTCAATACCACAAAAGGAAGGTTGGGATTGATTTTGGGGGTTATGGTACCAACAGTAAAGGAATTAGGGGCCAAAAAGGGGCCAAAAATAAGCATTTTTGTAACTTCCAGACATAACTTGTGTGTAAGTGTATGGATCTTTCTGAAATTGTACTACAAGGTTCCATATCACAAAGGGAAAGCTGGAATTGAGTTTGGGGGTAATTGCCGAAACGTTTAGGAATTGGGGGCCAAAAAGGGGCCAAAAATAAGCATTTTTCTAGTTTCCAGACAATTACTTGTGTTCAAGTGTATGGATCTCTCTGAAATTGTACTGCAAGGTACCATACTACAAAGGGAAGGCTGGGATTGATGATGGGGGTAATTGCCTCAATATTTTAGGAATTTGGGGCCAAAAAGGGGCCAAAAAACACATTTTTCTAGTTTCCAGACAATAACTTGTGTGTAAGTGTATGGATCTCTCTGAAATTGTACTGCAAGGTACCATACCACAAAGGGAAGGCTGGGATTGAGTTTGGGTGTGATGAATCATAAGGGGGTTCAAAAAATTTGGGGAGGGGGGGATTTTTTTTTTTTTTTTTTTTTTTTTTCTTTTTTTCCTATATTTTCTTTTAAAATTTTCCATTTTAAGTTGGTTATTTCTGATTTTTATTTAAAAGCAAATAATAATGATATGGTAGGAGATACACACCAAACAGGATGTGTAAATTATATAATAAGTATTGTGCAATAGCAAGAAATTTTCAATTGCACAGTATTGCACAATAGCAAGTAATCTTCAATTGCACAGTATTGCGCAATAGCAAGAAATCTTCAATTGCACAGTATTGCGCAATAGCAAGAAATATCCAATAGCACAATATTGCGCAATAGCAAGAAATTGTCAATTGTACAGTATTGCGCAATAGCAAGAAATATTTAATTGCACAGTATTGTGCAAATGAAGATACTTCGTATAAATTGCTTATTTCTTGACCAATTTCAATGGGGTTTTATTCTTGAATTCTTGGGGTTCTTTAATATGCTGATTCTAACCGTGTATTTAGTTTTTGGATTTTGGGCCAAGTTTTTAAATTGGTCCACATTGAGGTCCAAAGGGTCCAAAATTAAACTTTGTTTGATTTCATAAAAAATTGAATTATTGGGGCTCTTTGATATGCTGAATCTAACCGTGTATTTAGATTCTTAATTTTTGGTTCCGTTTTCAAATAAGTCTACATTAAGGTCCAAAGGGTCCAAAATTAAACTTAGTTTGATTTTAACAAAAATTGAATTCTTAGGGTTCTTTGATATACTGAATCTAAACATGTATTTAGATTTTTGATTATGGGCCCAGTTTTCAAGTTGGTCCAAATCGGGGTCCAAAATTAAACTTTGTTTGATTTCAACAAAAATTGAATATATGGGGTTCTTTG